CCAACCCGGACCAAAGAGCTGCGGTCAGTGTGATCAGTGTAGCCACGGTTTAACCAGACTGGGCTCAGGATCAGGGTTAAGTCCAGTCAGAACCAGCGTAGAACACTGAACTCTCTGCTCTGACTGATTAGGTTCTGGTGTGAGGTCCATCTGCTCCGTCTTCCTGCACCAGAGGTGACATCCCAGCATCAGGTGTCTCACCTGTCCTGGTTTTACTGTTGGTCAGGATCTCCTGCAGTCTCTCCTGCAGCTTGTCGGCCCGCTTCCTCTCCAGCTGCAGCTGCCGCTTCAGGTCCTTCAGCTGAAGAGACACGTTTCAGTTCTGGAGGTCGACCAAGGCTGAGAACATGAGCGGTTCATGAAAACTCACCGCTGAGCTGCCCTTCTTCTCCAGTATCCGCTGGCCGTCCACAGTGTCCTTTATCTCCTGCAACATAGAAACACCACGAGGGTGGCAGGGTTAAGCACGGATCCTTCTGTGGACCTTCAGAGCTCAGAGGAGGCGGAGATCCCGGACCCGGTTCTGACCTGTTTGAGTTTCTCGATGGTTTTCACATGTTCGTCCCTCTCCTTCTCCGCCGCCTCCAGCTTCTGCTTCCATCCCTCCATCTCTGCTCGCTTCTCCTGCAGACAACAGAAACTCATCTCAGGGCAGGAAGCCGGACAGAAACATTCGGATTTAAGTAAAGAACATCTTGGTCTCCAATGATCGGAACCAGCCTGACCCAGAGACCCGTTCAGAGGAACTAACCGCATTTAATTCTCTCTAATCTTTTCCTGCTAATTAAACGGACCGACGTCTTCAGTAAAGGAGGTCATCAGCTGCAGCGGACTGAGGAGCAGCTGCTGACTCTCAGGAGCCACACAGAACACTTCAGAACTCTGGATCCAGTAACCCAGGAGGCGTCACATTAGAGGTTCTAAGAACCTGAATGAGATGGTAATGGGACTGCAGGGGGCGCCAAAGAGCATGAGGCTGCAAGCAAGACGAATACAGATTAGAACCAAACAATTGATGGTTCAGGGTTCCTACAGCATAAGGAAAGTTAAAATCAAAACTTTTTAACTTTTTGATGCCATTTGAAATAAAAATTTAAGACCAAATTTACAAGAAACACAAGAAAAACCTGCTTGCGAC